AATATCACTGAAAAAGAACATATATATATATATATATATATATATATATATATATATATATATATATATATATATATATATATATATATAGATAGATAGAGATATAGATATATATGTGTGTAGAGTAAAGAGACTTTTTTATTTTCTTTTTAATCAAAGCGGAAATATACCGGAAAAAGATTTCATATTGACAGAAAAAGTATAATGAAAACTTCAAACCAATCAACAAAATGTGATCTCATTTCTAAACTAATATGACCAGTATTGTTTATCGGGCCAACCAAACAGTTCAATAAATTGAGTAGTACAACAAGATGATACGAGGTTGCAACAACAGACCACCAATAACAAGTAGATGTGATAGAGATATTTTGCATTAACACTATAACAAATAAAACTACACTAAAATTCTGGTTTCTTTTAATAGCTGATTCACACCTAGGTTTTCCTATTAATTTTTGTGATTCCAATCTCACTACAATTTTGTAAGAAATTATTTATTTTTTATTTTATTCCAATTAACTCACTAAAAAAGGTAACATTATTTACGGATATTCTATCAATTTCATTTCTATGAATTAAGTATAGTAGAATATCTACTCTATATGAAACTAGGTTTAGTCAACCTAAATTATCTTCCAAGAACCTAAATCAACGTTTATAAGTATCTGCATAAAGAAACTGAAAAATATAAATACGAGGAGTCTTACAAAAGGTGTAGAGGTAGAGAAATTTGGTATTTTAGATGTAATGAGAAAACAAGCACCATACTTCTAAGTGTCCTAAGAGAGTAAAAATGAAGTCTATCTCACCTAGTGAAGCTGCAACCGTAGTTTATGAGGAGGAAGTCTTAAGGGTGAGTTCTTAACGGTTTATACTAGTTTAAACGAACCTTTTATATAGGTTTTGAAACCAGCATAGAATTAAACTTTCTATATATCGGTTCTATAATCCATATGGCAAATGTCACTTATTATAGCGGTTAAAGGTACAACTTAGTAAAATATTCACCATTTGTTTTGAAGTTGGTTGAAGTTATTCAGGCTCACAAATTTTTTTCCGATTTTCTCAAATTTTTGACAAGTTTTGTTTCCAATTTTCTCATATTTTTCCCAGATTTTGTTTCCATTTTCTTTAAATTATTCCTAAATTTTACCCAAATCTTGAAAGAAAATTGAGAGGAAGAGCTTTCCCCCAATATGATTTAACGAAAATGCCCTCCAAATGGGCTTATCCTAATTTGACCAAAAGTAGGCCCAAATCTCAAATTTGGTTTGAAATTAAAGGAATTAAAATTACAAATGAAATTAAAAATAATTGTTGATGTGGAAATTAATAAATGACGTGGCCACACTCTTATTGTCCAAAAATATGATTTCAAAATTGTCTTGAAAATAATAATTGGAATAATTAAACTCAATTAATTCAAATTAATTAAAATAAAAAATTACTAGTCAAATTAAGCCCAATAGTGAAAATGAGACAATAACAGAGAATTAAACACAATTCACTAATACAATATGGTGTAGAAAGCTAAGTAAATAGTACAAAATAATGATTCGTCAGTGACCTTAAAGCAAGAAGAACGTTCTGTGCTGAATCAACAGAAACAAATTCTTCATTCAAATCAAAGGTATCAATACAAGCAAGCAACAAGCTATTTATATGTTGTCTTGCTCGTGCAACTTCAATGGGTTAATTAAAATAGCTGGAAGGTCACATGGGAAGGACTGCAGGCATGTGGAGAAACTTTTGAAGCTGCTGAATGTTACCAATGAGGAGCATTGGTGTTTTGAAGATTATGATTTTGACGATGCTACAAAGTGAAGAACTTGAAGACTTTAGTTATAATTTATTTAAAAGCATTTATGTAGAATCAATTGTAATAGGAATAACTTTGATAATGTAAACACTTAGAAGTTTTCATGTCATTAGTAAGTTTGCGTAGATAATCGATTATTTGGTGTAATAATCGATTATCCCGAGCTCATTTGAAAAACTACTTCTCGCGCAAATAATTGATTATTACTCAGAATAATCGATTATTCCAGTCTGAGTCGGTATTGCCCAAGTCTCACAGATAATCGATTATACCTCGAAATAATCGATTATCACTTTTTGAAAAACCCATAACGGACAAGGATAATCGATTATCATTGGTAGTTGGGAAATATCTTTTTAAATTCTAACCTCTGGGCTATATATACTCTTTGCCAAACTCTTTATAATATCTATGCCATTTGAGAATACAGTTTGTTTGAGGAAGTTCTCAAGTGATAGTGTTTACTCTTCTCAAGTCTTGTGAATAGGAGAAGCTCGCGCTTTGTGTGTCAAAGGTCGGAGAAGTTCTCTTCAAGTTGGCAGAGTTGTCTCTTCTAGTTCGTTTATAGAAGGAATGTTCTTCCGTTCGTTTGTCGAGCGAAAGGTTTTCGCTGCTCTTAATTTCTATTCATCTTATTGTAATTGTTAAACTAATTTTGGTGAAATAGTTAATCGCTCTTTATAGTGATTAACAACTGGACTTAGAGTCTGTTGATTCGAACCAGGATAAAAATCATGTGTGATTTTTCTCTTCCCTACACCCTTTAAAATTTTAACACATCAATTGTTCAATAAAAGTTTTACAAGAAAATTAAAGGAACCATTTTATTAACCAAATTCGTTAACTCCGCTGCGCAAAATCGAATTCGTTTTAACTCCGCTGCGCAAAATCGGTATCGATTGTACCAATAATTGGTATCAAAAGCTTGCTTTGATATTGTTTCAAAATTTTCGAAAATGGCCAGTTGATGAGTCATTATTTTCTACTATTCACTTAGCTTTTCGCACCATATTTTGTTATTGAATTGTGCTTAATTCTCAATTATTATTGCATTTTCACTTATTGCACAAAATAGCTTGACTGAACGGTCTGTGAAGGATTGACCGAATGGTCTGTGAAAGACCAAGCCGGACGCCAGATCCACTGAACCGAATGGTCTTGAAAGCTTGACCGAATGGCCTTTTGTAAGCTTGCACTGAATGGCCAAGCATTACAAACCGAACGATCTGTGGAATGTGGCATGACCGAACGATCTTTGGAAGCATTTATGAATTGTTTGTGGAAGCCGAGCTCCACTGTTGAACCCAAAAGTTTGAGAATGGCCGAGCTCTATTTTACCGAACGGTCTGCTGAACACTGCATTGAATGGACAAACACCAGAGAACCGAACGGTCTGAGTAGTGTTGCACCGAATGGTCAGAGAAACATGTAGAGCTTGATGATCGAACGATCTGATGTAGTGATGAACCGAACGACATACAACTTGTTTGAGTCCTTCATGACCGAACGATCTGATAAAGTGTGCACCAATCAGTTCCTGAGCCACTACAAAAAAGAAGGGCATTACCGAAGGCCAGAAGCCCTCGGAAACAGCCCAAAACCGTCGGTAAAAGGTAATTACCGAAGGCTTATCGACGGCCAAAGAGCCCTCGGTAAATCCCTTGTCGCTAACATTTACCGAGGGCTTTCGCCCTTCGGTAATTACCGAGGGCCAAAAGCCTTCGGTAATTACCGAGGGTCAAAAGCCTTCGGTAATTACCGAGGGCCAAAAGCCTTCGGTAATTACCGAAGGCCAAAAGCCTTCGGTAAATTCCGAAGGGCGAAAAAAAAATTTGCAACCTCTCCTGCAATCACTATACATTAAACCATACAGAAACAGTTTGGTCCCCACTTGAGTATAGATATCCAGCCAACACATTTAAAAGTCATGCAAAAACAAAATACAAAAACCAAAAAAGCTACAAATTTAAATGGCAGGCAACCATTTTAACTGGAAATACTGAGACAATAATATTACATTACCAAGACAAAACTTCAATAAGAAAACTAAACCTAAGATCCATTCATACTTTCAATTATTGATTACCATTTGCAATCAACTCTTTTTAACACACCCTACACTATCAAGGAGCAAGATGTTTCGGTATAACAAGAAAAAGTAACTTTCCAAGATAAACAAGAAACATGGCACTAGAATTACTGCAACCTGGTACAATTTTATGAAACCATCTAACAGAAAAAATAACTGTAAGTGACATTTATTTAAAAACTAAATAGACTCAGCTAGATACATATACATAAGTACTTGTATCACATGAACTAAAATTTCCTTATCATTATCAGGGATAAAATAAATGTTTTTATTTACAATAACCAGTAACACATGACAACAATCACCAACTTAAAAAGTTATGCTGGAATCCTGGTTTTAAAAACAGTCTGCAACCATAGCTGCCATATCAGCCATATATACCTGCAGTTTCTCGCAATGTCAAGGATTGCAAGGAAACCACGACTTAAAACTTTGGTTAGAATAGTAGAACTAAACTAAAATATTGAAAATGAACCGATCGTGCATTTACTGCATCCACATTAAGGAAAAAACAATATATTCGCCACATTGCCATTTATACAATCCCCACATTATGACACTTACAATGGCTCATGGATGTCACCCTTCCACTCCTCCATAAATCTAGCATTACAGATATAAGCCAACATTAGTCAACAAAATATATATTATGAAATAAAAAATACAAATCTAATTTTTACTATAACAATTAAGAAATTTTATTTCACAATCATTATGACCAGAACACCCTCACCAAGTCATTCTCTAGAAATATTTCCCAAATTAGCAGCATTGATCCCCGCCCTTAATCAGCAACAACTTCATATTGTCATCAGAAAAGTAAAAAGCATTGCATGGCATAAATACTCTTCTCTGAATTGAGCACTTAATGTGATTCTTATTCAAATCAATGCGATAGTTCCTTGATATTAAACAGACACACTTAAAACCAGAAAATCCTGGGGAAGGGAAAAAAATGACCAAACCAAGCCTCACAAATACAGCTGCAACCCTCATGAAACTAATTACACCAAAATCAAAAGCCAAAAAACGTATCCGATTTTAAAAACAACATCAACAAGAACGAGTCCCAAAATCGTATCCCCAAAACTACCCTTGCATCATCCACTCCTCCCATAATTGACGAATAGATGAAATTCAAAGGAAAAGGACTCAAATTTACCCGCACTTGCAGCACAGTTGGGCGAATCCACCAGATCGCAGAAGCCACCCCTTTCTCCATTCATGAGTGCACGAACCATTAACGACGCAAATATCAGAACCCATTAATACAAAATCCAAAATTCCACTGCCAAAGAAATACAATCCAAAACTCAAATCAAAATCACAAACCCTAAACCAAAAACCAAAACAACAAAAAAACACTTTGACCCGTCATCACAAATTTATTCAGACTCCATACACACCCATGCAGAAAGCTTCAAGATTCACAAAGGGGTTATAATGAAAAAGAACCCCAAGACGAAAAAACAAACCTTTGTCTCACCCCAAGTGAAAACCAACAAATGGGTCATTCACATGAACGAAAAAGAACCCGACTTCGCAGTGCTAGCTGCCTCTGTCTATCACCATCGCAATGCTATTCGCTCCAGATCTACCAGCCTTCACTAGACAGTGAGACTCTCGTTGCCGCCGCATTCCGGACATCTCCCACGAACCCCGAAACCTGGGTCAACGAACCCAGCCGCAAAACCCCCAAATCGGCGTCAACCAACCCAACCGCAGAACCACCAAACTGGCCTCAGCGAACCTAGGCATAGAACCCCCAAACCGTCGTCTTCAATCCCAGCCAAAGAATCCCCAAACCATTGTCAATCAACCAACCCTCACTTATCCCAGAATCGCTCAATATTGGAGGGCACAATGGAGGGCACCAACAGAATAGGGAAGGGAAGGGGGAAAACCTTCAGAGAAGAGACCAAAGGGGGAGGGAATTGGAAA